GACAACACATTCCACACAGACAGTTCCTAGTGGAATATCTATCTGGTTCGTTGTACCAACAATCTGCACCGTGGCTGTACAGTCATCCACACTCTGAGAGAGAGCTGGAAAGAGACACACACGTTACTTCAACCCTTGCCACATTCAGAGCAAAAATTGGAGTAAGTCAGCCTATTTCGTGTTTGCTCTCTCTGCAGCCAAAACTAAAAGCCTCGCACACACAGCGCACTTACTACAGAGTAGTTCATCAAGCAGACCCACCCTCGCTATGTTTACTCGTCTCGGTAAAGACAACGAAAGTCGAGGTTGAAAAGGCGTGTGCTGAGACCGAGACGCCAGACGTCTAACGGCAACTTGGCTACCGACCGCGCCCAGTAACTCACCTCCGCGGAACATCGAGCACCCAGCCAACACGGCCAGGAGCAGCGTTGATCTCCACATGCTACTGTTTCCCACTTTCTCTGTGTCGACACGAAATGGCTGAACTAGGATCGAGTTTGGGCGGTGTTGCGCGCGCTACGCAAGGCACGTAGGACTGCTGTGGTACGCAAGGAATGCACAGTCTGCGGTGGGGTGACAAAAAACGGCTTCATTTTCGTATCGGGTTACGATAGCGCGTAACGGTTCCGTCGCCGAAACGGAAAATAAAGCGCATGCGCTTGTATTCTCAGCAATTTCTGCCAAAATGGCTGCTTCAGCAGGGGGTGCAGGAGCGAGAGCCGTGAACGGCGAGGGCCTAAAGAGTGGGCAGAAGGCCACGAGCGTCTCCGTGGACGACTCGGAGACGTGGGTGGAGGCCAAGCGCTACACGGTGTACAAGGTGGTGGTTCGGAAAGCCGACAAGGCCTACTTTGTATTCAGGAGGTGCGTTTCTATATCGCTCTTCCCTACCGTGTGTACTGCGGCTTGTTTGCGTAAACCTGGTCCCAGTGGAAGCTTCCAACGTATCTGGGAACGCCTTCTTGCTATGTGTCACCCTTTGTTTATAGCAGCTCTATTTCGTCATGCATAACACTAGCTATGTACGTTGCAACCAGTACTGACTTCTGCCTCCTCTCTCTTCAGGTACAATGAGTTCCACGAACTCCACGAAAAGCTCAAGAAAAGGTTCCCAGAGAATGGGCTCAAGTTGCCAGGGAAACGGATCCTCGGCAACAACTTTGACCCCGACTTCATCAGACAGCGAAAGACAGGTCTCCACGACTTCATCGGGAGAGTCATGAAGGTTCGTTAGTGCCTGTATTACCAGGGGTTTACTCATATTTTAATACTGTGTGACCTATGGCTATTTCTCTCTTGCCTACTACACATCTAAGTGTATAATACTGCTGGACTGTAAGAGCCATCTCTGGCAAAGGGATTCAATGGGGAATTCAAGAATCCTCCCGCCAATTAGTGACCTAATTAGATAGCCTTTAACCCAGTGTGTATATACATCATGTAGTGTGCATCATTCATACTATGGACAGGTGTTTGGGAATACACAGTGCCAGACCATAGGATCTGCAGTGTGGCTACTGATAATTATGTGAATGTATTCCTTGGGCTAAAGAGACACAGAGTCTGTGTACCCAGCTGAGGTGTAGGTACACAGGAAAAAACCTGTGCAGACACACAGCTCAGTGAGCAAGAAGGCTTTGCTCCCGGGGTGTTGACATGTGTATCTGTTGGTCTACATCTGTTGGTCTACATCCCGGTGGAATTCCTCCACACACTCTCCTCCATTTCAGTGCCAAGTCCATAGGGAGGGGCTAACAGAATGAATGATTCAAGGAAGAATTTAATTGTGAGCTCTATAATGGTGTAATGGTGTAATGGTGTGAGTGTGCGCGACACACCCACTTGACTGTCTCATGAATTATTCATGAGCTGTTGGGACACAGTCCCAGTGTACCACCATGTTTGGTCAGAATGATGTCAATGGTATGACGTCATTGTTATCTTGTGGAGTGGGAGCTCACGTCCTTACCATGTCTTCTGTGTTACCAACCATGCATGTTTCGCTGCATGCCTTTAATCCGGTTTCCAAACCCGGCCTGTTATAGTATATATATATACAGTCCATTAATTAACAGATCCCCTCATATAAGATTTCCATAGAGATTATCAACCACTTGAGTGGCAATGGATGCGACTAGCTGTATGATGTAATGTAGTGCATGATGTAGGGTTTTGAGTTGATAGTTGGTGTATGTTGTGATGTGTAGGTGGGATTTTGAGCAATTTAACACTGCTAGTCCAGTTCTATACTGGGACGTGGTTGCATTCAGAGTACATGTACCACTTTAAATGTAGACTAGTGAAACTATTCTTATACTACTGTATAGGTTGATGTTGGGTGTCTACCCATTGTCAAGTTGGCACCCATTCACTGAGATCACCAGACAGTGTGCCTACTCCCTCACTCCCTCTCCACTCTCTAGTCACCATAAATTGTTGCTCTATTTCTCTAACAAAAAACTGAAAGAGTCCCAAGTAGCCATGTTACCAAACACTGGAGGTACACTCATCCTCCACAAACCACTAATGACCCTCCACTGTTTACCACATGGAGACTTGTATGTGTAGAATGTTTTCCTTCTTGTAGTCTTACATGCCACTCCCCCTCTCCCCCTTTCATTCTTGTGTTTTTCCTCCATCTTATTCTCTCTCTTCTCTCTCTCTCCCCTCTCCCCTCTCCCTCCCCCGCTACCCACAGATTCCTGGAGCTCTAGATTTCCCTCCAGTGAGGGAGTTCCTGTCATTAGACGACACACGAGCTGCCCTCCCTATCTATGACCAGGAGCCGATTGACGAACCGGTGGAGCCCTGGGCCGGGGGAGGAGCCGGCGAGGGTCACATGGACTTGGGAGACACGGAGAAAGAGACTGCCATAATCACCGACTTCAACCTCCTCAAGGTCATCGGGAAAGGCAGCTTTGGAAAGGTGAGCTCCGCAGCCTTGGACACCATGAAGAATTTGATTGAATCGTCAAGTTTAATGTAGCACTTCTTTAAACCCTATTATTTTTTTTATGAGTCTTATTTTGTGTGTGTGTGTGTGCCACTATCCATAAATATCATGCATCGCAAGTGGTGAATTGCCCCCAACGTGCGGTCATATCTTCCCAAATGCCATTAATAAAATAGCATTTGGGAAGCATTTGGGCTGAAAAACAGTAAACAGTTATCTGAACAGCTGCCCTCTCCTCATGCGTGCCGTCTCGATTCTTTCTCTCTCTCAATTCCGCCCGCCATGTGCAGGTCTATTGGCGAGACACAAGCAGACGGAGCAGTGCTACGCCATCAAGGTTCTGCAGAAGAATGCCATCGTCCGCCGCAACGAAGTCAAGCACATCATGGCCGAAAGGAACGTCCTCCTGCAGAACGTGACTCACCCGTTCCTGGTGGGGCTCCACTACTCCTTCCAGACCAGCTCCAAACTCTACTTTGTCCTGGACTACGTCAATGGAGGAGAACTCTTCTTCCACCTCCAGAGAGAGAGGGTGTTTGAGGAGCCCCGGGCCAGGTGGGTGTGGTCAGTGGGCGTGGCCACCAGCCAATATAGTGTTGTAGCCAGTTTTAGTTCATTTTTACTCACGGAGCAGAGTTGCGGGCCAAAATTTCGCCGGTGATGTGTTGTGATAATGTTGCCAGTGGTATGTAGGCTAATGCGTTGTAAGGCCAACTCCTTTGTTCACATAAGGGACTGCGTGCTCTATTAGCTGTGACAATTGTAGTAATGCATGTCAAATTCGGCAGGCTGATGTGAGGCATTAGCATTGTTTTGGTGTCTATGGTAACATAACTATTAGAGGAGAGTGGAGTGCCAAACAATCAGTCATATAGTACTTCCAGGGTTTCTGGAGGTATGTGAACTTCTGCTTTACCTACATACATGTATATACACTACGTGCAATGGGGTATAATTATTACGAGCTTCTTGTATTTTAAAGTGCATAAGAAAGTCAACATTATGCTCTGACACCCGATGTTCAGAAATTGCTTAACGACCTAATAAAAACTGTTTGTTGCAGGTTCTATGCGGCAGAGATCACATCGGCTCTGGGCTACCTCCACAACCTGAACATAGTCTACAGGGACCTGAAGCCGGAGAACATACTGCTGGATGCACAGGGACACATCATCCTCACCGACTTTGGCCTCTGCAAAGAGAACATTAGTCACGGTGAGTCATCACTCTCTCATACGCGTGTCCTTATTGTGGAAAAATATTTTGTGTTCAAGTTTCTTCATTTCCGCACAATTTCGTTGGGCGAGAATCAGCGATCGTTTTAAATTAGGGAAGGTAGTGTATCTTGGTGAACATTGTGCACAGGGACATTTTTGTGAGAGTTTTATCAATGATTTTGAGAATGTCTGTGCTGCTGAACTTGAGAGCTTCTCCTTTCAAGGAATGTACTGAAGAAGAAGAGGGCGTGGGCACAACACCAAGTTTAGAGAGGAGTTTAAATGAGCTACACTTAGTCTTGCTTTCATTGGTTTTGGCATCCTGTGACATTCTTTTGTTCTATATACACCTCTCCCTCCCTCCTCTCTCCCCCTCCCCCCCGTTACCCCAGGTGACACGACCACCACATTCTGTGGTACCCCGGAGTACCTCGCCCCCGAGGTGCTCAAGAAACAAGACTACGGCCGACCGGTCGACTGGTGGTGTCTGGGTGTGGTCACCTACGAGATGATGTACGGACTCCCTCCCTTCTACAGCCGCGACGTCGCCGAAATGTACGACAACATCCTCCACAAGCCACTCAGACTCCGCCCACATATATCCCCGTCCGCTCGGAACCTTCTGGAAGGTCTGCTGAAGAAGGACAAGACGCAGCGACTCGGCTCCGAGCAGGGGGACTACCACATCATCATGGCCCACCCGTTCTTCCGTGCCATCAACTGGGACCTTCTCCACAAGAAGAAACTGCAGCCTCCGTTTAACCCCAACGTGAGGGACGACCTCGACCTCCGACACTTTGACCCCGAGTTCACCAGGGAGGCGGTGTCCGACACGCCCTCTCCAGCCCAAGTCCTCGGGCAGAGTCCTGGTGAGCGTCACAGACGATACGTTTGCCGGATTTTCATACGTTCCTCCACCGGTTCTGGACGATTTTTAGTGAATGCATAGTATGTGTGTGTTTATATGTGTGTGCTTGTGTGTGGTTTATATCAGGCGTTTTATATTATTTTTTCAATATTACTGTGTGTATAAAATCAGCCGTTCGCTTAATAGGAATCAAATAGTGGGCGTTGAAGGGTGTGTGCTCCATATAGAATTTCCGCGCCTTTTGCATGTCCAGTAGAAGAGCTCTGTTGCAGGTCTTGCGAGCCAGAACCATGACTACTAGCCCCAACGCCAAGCGCATCAAGCTCTCGGACGAGGAGCGAGCTTCGCAGCTGGAGCACCTGAAGACGGCTGGCTGGGAAATGGTGGACGGTCGGGACGCCATCAAAAAGTCGTTTCAGTTCCAAGACTTCAACGAGGCGTTCGGGTTCATGACTCGCGTGGCGCTCAAGGCGGACAAGATGGACCACCATCCCGAGTGGTTCAACGTCTACAACCGCGTGGAGGTGACTCTGAGCACCCACGACTGCAAGGGGCTGTCTCAGAGAGACATCACTCTGGCCGAGTTTATTGAGAAGACAGCAGAGTGATCCGCGCACACTCCTGCTGTCGATGAATAGAGAAAAACCTTTCAGTTTTGTGTTCACGTGTCTACAGTCAAGTCACCCCTTTTTGAATTTTTTTCTCAGAGTTAGTTGATCAATAAATTATGATGTGAAGAACATTGAATATCATGTTGTGTGTGTGAGTGTGCTAATGTGGGTCGGGGAAGTAGACAGCGAGTCTTGCAGCTTCATCCGTCATCTCCTTGTGGCTGCGGAACTTTCCCTCCTCCGATGACCCAACTCCCGAGTCATGTTCCTCTAGCTAAAAACAGAGTGAAGAAGAATCGCACGCTATGTCATACCTAAAATGTCGGCGACTGATTCAATCACCTCATGATAGATGTCATCGTTTCTCTGAAAGTCTCCTGGTCTTCTCGGGATGATGTGGACGTGAACTTGCTTCACTGTCTGCCCTGCATCTGGTCCATCCTACACATACACACACACACACAAACTATCCTCAGTAGAGTCGTGGAGATCACATTTATATTTCACGCTGACTTGTACTGATATGGTGAGACTGGTGCCACCAAATATCCTGCTGATGACAGGGGCTACCCGATGTGCACAGTGAAACAGATCTCCCACCTCCTCGGTTGACAGGTCCTGGAACCTCTCCACTGGTCTTCTAGTGGCCACCAGCACATCTGTGGACCATAGTTAGGGTGTGCTAGGCACATGGTATAACTCACAGCTAACGTACTACTGTGCTAGCTACCATACATGAGACTGCTAGCTAGCTTCATAAAGGAAGGATACGTCCAGGGAGGATGGGTTTGCGGTTGGTGAAGGCAAAGGAGAGAGGGGTGAGGAGGAAAACCTGTGCTCTTGGTATGACGTGAGACCCAAACTGCAACACTCCACGCAGCGCCTGCTCCGCTGCCATCCTATCACACAGCACGCAGCACACCTGAGGTCGGTGTGGACGTGCAGTAGGGGGCGTGTCAACAGCTGGGCGGTATGTGTGGGGGTGTGTCTGTCTGTCCGCGGACCGCTCAAGCCGAGGCTCAAGCTAGCTTCTTCTGTGTCTTCATCGAGCGAGCTTGACCTTTCACGATGCAGGAATCGGAGGAGCTAGACGATAATGATCCCACACAACTGGCTGGTGCACAAGGTAAGTGCTTAGTGGGTGGGTCTCGTACAAGGAATTACACGAAAACAAGCTAGCTAGCTAGGTAGCTATAATACAAGCTTGTTTTGCCGTCCATATTGTCCAGCAGCTACGCTAATGACTACACTGGAAACCCAACTGAAACGCTATACCAGGAGAGCCAAGCCAACTGGAGAGGTCCTAGGGAGTGGGACCTACGGCTGGGTAATCGAACTAACATCAGCGGGGGAGACTGTGGCTGGGAAGGTGTTCAGAGTGTCCGCCACTTCGCAGCTTCAGGCATTAGCAACCAAAGTGTGCGGAGAGGTGATCACAATGCTGCAGCTCAGCCATCCAAACATTGTCCAGTGTAAAGGAGTGGCTTTACTGCCAGACAAGTCACCACTGCCTGTTCTTCTGATGGAGCGACTGAAGACAAGTCTTCATGCCTACCTCCTACGCCCAAACAACTCCAATCTTCCAGTGGAGAGAAAAGTGTCCTTTTTACTAGACATAGCTAGAGGACTGGACTATCTTCACAGCCACACACCTGCCATCATCCATCGAGACTTGACTGCCACCAACGTCCTGCTCACCTCCCAACTCACGGCAAAGATAACCGACTTCGGGAACTCCCGTTTCCTGGACCTCGACCCCAGCACAACATCCAGAACATTTACCACAGTGCACGGAACTCTGGAGTACATGCCCCCCGAGGCCCAGGGGGTGACTGCACAAGGAGTGAGCAAGAAGTTCTACCCCAGTCTGGATGTCTTCTCCTTTGGGCACCTCTCTCTCTTCACTGTCACCCAGACTCAAGTAACCCTCCTCCCTCCCACCTCCACTGACCCTGAAACTGGTACGTAAGACAACTGATCCCTATTTCACACTATTATGCAATGTTTCAACTTCACAGGTTTAGTGAAAGGGCTGTCAGCATTGGAGAGACGTGAGCAGTTTGTGACGAAAGCCCAGCAACTCTTGCCAGAGAATCCCGATTTACTGCAACTTATTCAACAGTGCCTCCACAATCTGCCAGGAAAGAGGCCTCTAACCAGAGAATTAGTAGAAAAACTGAGCAGCATGACTGCTGTTGGTAGGTGCAACCATTGTAACTGTCTCTACCCTTAATTCCCCCTCTCTAACTGCCTCTACCCTTTATTTCCACTTATTTCCCCTCTCTATCAATCCGGTGCAGTCATTCCTGCTGGCCAAGACAGGGGAAGAGTTGAGAGAGATTCTGCCTCCACTCAGGGCAGAGGCACTGGAGAAGCTGCAGGTACTGTATATAGTCCTTAGATACTCCTGTGAGTGAAGTTTTCTTATTTCTTTATCTCCAGTAGTAGACACCAGACCTCCTGCACAGTCACCTATACAGCCTTCTATCCCTGAGGGTATATATAACCACTGCTTACAACTTTGCCTTAAAAATTGTTCCATGTCCTAACAGGAGCACCAGATGGAGGGATTTAGGTCACAGTTGTCCCTTTCTGCAGATTCTATGAGTCAAAGCAGTGCCAGTTCAACAAGAAATGTTCCAGTAGCGACACAGACTTTAAGTATGTAGTACTGTATATGCTCCTTGCCTCACTTCATTAGTCTACAGGAATTGATGACTTATTTGATGTTAAAAGTGAGTTGGAGCCAGTAACTTACAGATGGAAACACATCGGACGGCCCTCAGACTAGACCAAGGCCAGCTGAAGAAGATAGAAAAGGAGAACAGAGATGATCTTGATGACTGTCTAAGTGAGACCCTAAGCCTGTGGCTGAATAAGAACTACAATACTGAGAGATTTGGAGAGCCATCATGGAAGCTACTGGCTGAAGCAGTTGGTCATCCTGCTGGAGGGAATAACCCTGCACTTTCCGATGACATAAGTATGAAGCATGGAGGTAATGATGTTCAGTGTATAGAGGCAATATAATATGATCACTTATTCCTATTAATTTGCAGGGCAATAGTATGTGACTGTCTTTCGTCTTCTATACATTCAGTAAGCACATAAGTGCTGGCACGGATTGCTTTCTTCACTGGATTAGTGTAGTGTTATGGACCCGTATAATAAGTCTCTTGTGTTTGATGAATAATGACACACTAAAATATTGAAACCTTTCTGTCCAAGACTCTATATTCTGTATTGGTGGTGCCTAGCTATTTACACGGTATAAAAAGTATATAGAAACCAATATTTCAGGTGAACCGAACATTATGAGTTTCATAAGCCACATTATGAGCAGTGTTGATGGGAGTTGTGGTCTCATAGGCCACATTGCCAGTAGTGGGGATGGTAGTAGTGTGAGACGACTCAGTTGGAATGGAGGAGGTGGTGGTCAGGGAAAGAACTACCTCATCATACACTGCCACTTGTGCTGGAGGAGAGTTCGCATGACACACAGTCACACACCACACCCACCCCTATTGTACCTGCAGATTGCTTCTTCCTGTGGCTGTGGCACTGTCTGACTACCACCAGTAGCACCAACACTGCTGTGAGACATATCATAAGACCTGCTAGTGCGGTACCTGTGTGTGTGTATTGAGAGAGAAAGAGAGAGAGACAGTGAGTGAGTGGCGCTAGAAAAATAATACACCACCTACCTATGGATATGGCAACAACTTGCGTCTCCATTGTCCCTTCCTCATCTGCAGTTCAATCAATGTACATTTACCAAAACTTTCCCTAAACTGTGTAAACATTGCTTGTCTAAAAAGTGGCACTGCAAAACATACCTGAAGCGGCTACTTCAGTGGCTACTTCAGTCTGTGGTGTTGTGGTTGTCCTAGTTACTTGTACATTTCTTGTTACAATTGGTCTTATCAAAACCGCTCTTCCAAAGACTGTGAATGTGTATTGATCCAGGATTGTAAAAAAATTTTGTGCAGTTGAGTAGGTGCTAAACCTTCTAAAATACACTTTGTTACACATATTATTAGTTTACCATTACCAGTTGATGGTGGCTGTGGTTGTGAAGGATCTTCTTTTCCCTGTACAAACATGCTTAAAAATGGCCTTTCATCAGTATCCTTGCCCAGCCTTCTGAACAGTGCAAATGTGTAGTTCACGTCAGGATCAAGATTGACAGTAACAGGAAAAGTTTCTTTCCAGTTCAACATATAGTTGCCATATGCTCTGAAGACCAGAACACACGATGCACTCTGTTCATCAGGAGTACAGGTGGCTTTCAAAATTGAGCCACTCCGGTAGATGCTGGCATTCTTCGGGTTCTCACCATTAGGAGCTTTGTCTTTTAAAATGCAAACAAACAATGCTTAAACAACACTTTTATACCCACAAGAACTTACATTTTTCTTCACCATGCATAATCTCAACACTAGAAGGGACAAGGTTAGCTGGATGTTTGTTGGGAAGCCCATCCTTCTCCAGATCATGTACATAAACAGTGTAATTTGATGCAGGCATTGAGATATCCCCAGAGAGTCTCAGATTTTCTCCATTACTTTTCAAAGCAATAAAGGTAATCTCAGTAGTGAAATTGCACTGAATGGCTACAAAGCATCCTTTTGCAGGTGAGTTACCAATGAGCTCTCCCATTACCACAATCTTTTTACCATCATTACTCGGCTCTGCATGGGGCTCTTGAACATCATAGGTTGCTGCAAAAGTGCACGAATGCAGTGAAAATGTGCTGAGTGTGCTGTAAGGATTAGTGGGTGTTGACATAATGTATAATACATCAGTTATCAAGCAGGACCACAGACATACACTTTGGAGATGGTATTTGGGAGTAAAGAGGATCATCTTAAAATTTATTGTATTAAAGCCCTCTGTCCACTGTATACATACACATCATGCTACATCTTACTGAAATTTTTAGTCTTTTCTGCTTCACAGGCCATGGGATCTTCAATGGTAGCACTGTAATCTCCATCAGCAGGTAGAGTGAAAACAGTTCCATTTGTACCATTGTTGGCATAAAAACGAACCGTATCTTTATAAACAGATACAGTGTTCACTTGCTCCTAGGGTAAATTACAAATGGCACTAGATAAACTAATGAGGAGAAGACAGGTAGACCGTTCCTCAAACACAACAATACAGAGAACACTTGAAGTGCATAAGAACACCATTCTAGAGAGTAAAATAAAATGTAACTTACATCTCTGAATTCAACTTCACGATAACGATCATCATCCAGGGCTTCAACTTCTACTTCAGGAAATTTGGTTTCTGTGGAAAAAATAAACAGAGAACAAAAGAACCAAAAAATGAAAATGTCCACTTGCAATTAGGTTTCTATAACAAAGTGTAAACAAACCATCAGTAATGTTGGGACTCCTCTCTCCCTGGCCAGCTCCATTCAGAGGGATGACAGAGAAGTTGTACACATGACAAGGACTGAGGTAGTCAGGAGTGAAGGTGTAGTGTGTCTCAGTGATATTGATACAGTCAGTACAGAGGATGGCTGTTGGGTTGTTCTCATCTGTTACATTGTAGATGAGGACAGAGTACCAGATATCAGGATCAACACCAGTCACATCCAGAGAGAATGGAGCACTCCACGAGATGGTCACTGAGCTGGCATTGTTGGTGGCTCTCAAACTACCCACTACTGACAGTGGACCTGAAATGTTGTTCTTGTTAATGATCATCAACTAGCAAACTGAAAATACCTTGAATTTTCAATGTTGCACTCTCACTCTCAGCTGAGCCACCAAATGCAAATACCCCACACTGGAATCTAGTTCCATTGTATTGGGCTTTGGCCAGGATGGTCAGAGTCTCCACTGTCACACCCTCACTAGTGTTGGTGTCTGTCGAGATATCATCACGTATCTCAGGTGAACTCTGTTCCAATTCTTCCAGGAACACTCCATCGATCAACCAACCAGAGAGTCCACCTCTTGTCTCACATGTAAATACTGCTGACTGGTGTAGAAATACCGTCTTGTTCTCAGGATCTTGGATTATTTCTAGAACATTAGTGTAGGGAGATAACAAAGCTAGCTTTTGTTTGTGTGCCAGGAGTGAATGGGTGAAGTTCGTGCTTACCTTGAGCAACCAAAGGAACAGACAAACTAATGAGCAACACTGCTACAGCACGTGGCGATTTCATTGCAGTGGTGGATGCGCTCGATCGGCGCGGCACGGCGGCAGGGGGTCAGTCGAATCGCATGCGCGCACACCCCTCGCGTTAATTAGACCGGATATCAAACCCGGAAATAAAGCCGGAAACATGTCGAAACACGCGGCTTGAGAATGTGTAGCTACTGCTGTGTTTCAAAACGCGCGTGTTGTAAGTCATTTTCTTACAACAGAGATATGCCAACAGAGTCAGGCTCATTTGGTTCCAAGATCATTGTCGATGAATCTATAATATTGGTGGTATTATTATAAGCACACTATAATAATGGGGACAACATCAGGTGGACTGAATTTTATGAGTTTCATAAGCCACATTATGAGTAGTGTTGATGGGAGTTGTGGTCTCATAGGCCACATTGCCAGTAGTGGGGATGGTAGTAGTGTGAGACGGCTCAGTTGGAATGGAGGAGGTGGTGGTCAGGGGAAGAACTACCTCATCATACACTGCCACTGGTGCTGGAGGAGAGTTCACATGACACAGTCACACACCACACCCACCCTCATACCTGCAGATCGCTTCTTCCTGTGGGCGTGGCACTGTCTGACTACCACCATTAGCACCAACACTGCTGTGAGACATATCATAACACCTGCTAGTGCCGTACCTATATGAGTGAAAGACAGTAACTCTGGGAAAATAATACACCACCTACCTATGGATATGGCAACAACTTGCGTATCCATTATCCTTTCCTCTGAATATTATACAATGTTCGTTTACCAAAACTTGTCCTAGTAAATGGGTATTGTGCACCTAGGTGCAAAACATACCTGAAGTGGTTACTTCAGTCTGTGGTGCTGTGGTTGTCCTAGTTACTTGTACATTTCTTGTTACAATCGGTCTTTCCTCTAAATCAAAACTGCTCTTTCCAAAGACTGCGAATGTGTATTGATCTCCACCAACAGTCAGTGTCACAGGGAAGACAGTGTGCTCCCTCTATACCTTCTTTGAACTCACACCTTATCTGAACCACCGGGTCATTGATGACCAAACTCACATTATTCAAAACATTAGATGCTACTTTAGAGACTGCCTCTGTAACATGATGTAATAGGTTACTAATTTTTCAATTGACAATAGACTCACCATTCCTATTTACAGTTATGACATTGTTTGGTTCATATGCTGGGCTCCTATTAGGGAGTCCATCTTGCTCCAGGTCATACAAAAAGGCTCTGTATGTTGATGATGGTGTGTCACTGATGATGCTAGTCAGCAGGGTGGTGTTAGGTCCAGGTCTTAGCAAGGCTATGAACACATCAGCAGTGGACTCATTCTCAGACTGCAGCACCACAAAACATCCTCTGGCTGTCGTGTTTTTGATGAATTCTGCAGTCACAACGATCTCACCATCATCTCTGACACTAGAAACTGTGGCCCTCTGGACATCATATGTAGCTGTAGAACAAACACGTCATTACCAGCTCTATATAGGGTGAAAATTACTTATAGGAATGGGTGAGGTAGAAACTTCAAACGAATATTCTCCATCAGAACAGAGGTCAAAGGTGAGTTCTTGTAAAGATAGAGACACAGCAATGATGCAACCATCTCCTTGTTTAGGAGTAATTCTGTAGCTGCAAATACATCCCTATAAAAAAGGGGAAAACAGCAGTTATTAATCTGTGTTGCAAATGAGATGTTTAGTTTTTTACTTTCTATGGAGGCCAACATAAACAAGATAACTTGGTTGTTTCAACAAAAAAGGTTGCAGCAACTTCTAAAGTATTGGTATGATAGGCCTATGTAGGCAACATGTTGGCAGAAACAGATCAAGTTGCCTTGTGTATGTTGACATTGACTCAATCCTTCCTCCTCTGTTCAGTGTTGATGTCTATTTTTGTTCCATATAGCTACATTCCTACTATTTTCCTGCTCACCCTAACACACAGACTGAAAACATTGAAACTCACCAATATCTGAAATGTAACTCTGCTTATGCTTCTAGAGACAGCTTCAATGCAAGGCTCTCTAACTGCAGAGTAAAGTATAGTAAGTAGCTGTAGTTTGTGAAAAATCTACCCTTATGCAAGCACACTCATCCTAAGCTATGTCATAACATGCAAGGTGCAACTTTGCATACCAAAACCACACTTCAAAACATATCCAGAGATAAAGGGACTGCTCTCTCCCTGGCCAGCTCCATTGAGGGGAATGACAGAGAAGTTGTATACATGACAAGGACTGAGGTAGTCAGGAGTGAAGGTGTAGTGTGTCTCAGTGATATTGATACAGTCAGTACAGAGGATGGCTGTTGGGTTGTTCTCATCTGTCACATTGTAGATGAGGACAGAGTACCAGATATCAGGATCAACACCAGTCACATCCAGAGAGAATGGAGCACTCCACGAGATGGTCACTGAGTCGGCATTGCTGGTGGCTCTCAAATCACCTACTGCTGACAGTGGACCTGAAATAAATGGCTAACAATTTCCTGACTTATAATACACTTTTCAGCTAATACCTTGAATGGTCAATGTGGCATTGTCACTCTCCGCAAAGGAGACACCAAATATCACAGACACACATTGAACTCTGGTTCCATTGTACTGGGCTCTGGCTGGGATGGTCAGAGTCTCCACTGTAGTGCCTTCAGGAGTGATAATTTCTGAGACAACCAGATCAATACGTATGTCAGGCAGAAAAGTTGATCGTTGTGTTCCATTGACTAGCCACAAAGTGTGGCCACCTCTTGTCTCACATGTAAAAACTGCTGATTTGTTTAGAAAGACAGTTGTATTCTCAGGGTCATGGAGAATCTCTGGTATAGAGAGAGAGAGCTATCGTCATTTTTTGGTGTCAGGATTGAATAAGTACTGCGGCTCGTGCTTACCTTGAGCAACGAGGGGAATAGAAAAACTGATGATCAACACTGCGACAACACTTAGTGACGACCTCATCGCTCGCCGAACAATGATCGACCGGATCTATATACGCATGCGCACCTCCCCCCATCGAATCGCGCGCGCGGACCGGATATCTAACCGGAAATTAAGCCGGAAACAATCTAAAACAAACCGGCAACGAGTGGTATTGCAGGGTAAACCACTGAATTGTTGAGTGCGAACTATACAAAATCAGATATTTTTCTATTCTGGAGCTTGCTGCTGTGCTGTGCACGGCTGTTTCAACGCGCGCACGAAGAAAAATTGGAAATGTGCGCGCGCCGCCCCCGGAACGCAATTGGACACGCCCCCTCCGTTTTGAAAAAGAAGCGGTACCTTCTGGAGACCGTTGGCCGTCCAGAGACCATACTATGCACTACCTAATGTGTTACTATGTTGTTCTATCATCCATGACAACCCTTAGTTACTTGCGCAGCTGCTTTTGCAGTACGTATACTACTGCGCAGCGGTCAAATGAACACTCCGCGGCAAAGACGCGCAAGAGTACCGACGTAGTGGAAGCCATATCTCAGTGCAGGAAGCGCTTTCTATTGGCACATGGGGGCAGGGCTAATGGGCGAGCAAGGGGCGGAGAGTATACATGCTCATATCTCAAAGCTGGAGACGCAGTACCAAGGGATCGTGAATCCACTGGAGAGACTTCGGTACATTGTGCAGGAGCACAACGTGGAGTCGACACCAGGGCTGAACAGCCTGCGCCCTGCACCACGGAAGAGACAACGGCCAAGTGAAGAGGCCAACTAAACCAACTCCACTCTCTCTGTACCCTATAGTTTACTACAGGTCCCTTCCCAAGCATCACACACGTAATAAAACAACTAAATAACACGTCCCAATTGGGTGGCATCTACCGTGGCACAAAAAATAAGTATCATCATACTTCCCACAGTTCTTGGAAAGTAGCGGGTAGTTCATTGTGATGGCAGCTTCCTCGCTGGCCGAAGCACTTCTGGACTTGAAAAACACAGCTATGTACGAGCGAAAGTCTCCAGTTCATGATTGGGAACGTATCTCAGGTATAGTTCATCGGACGGTTGTGATTTTTGGACCGTCTCGTGGCTCGCACTGGGAAGAGTCCGAGTTCCCCACTTGCGCATGTTCTATACGCACGCGCATACCTCAAAAGGCCGCTAGTAACGTAGCGGAAGTCGCACGCGGAAGCCCGTTTCCATGCATAACAATGACGTATTCATTTTTTGGGGGGCGTATCTTAATGTCCGCGCGCTCATTGCGGGAAACGGCCGTGTGTGCTTTCAAAAGCACACGTGTTCGTGCCTTAGAAAAATATTACAAGTCCATTTTCTTATATCAGAGAGTCGGTAGACTCTCTATATAGGGATGACACGGGTGAAATCTCACGTGATCGCGTACAAA